TTGTCTGGAGCTTAGGCACCTTGTCTGAAGACAGACAATGGACTCATGATAAGTAAACCTCTGAGTCTCTGGTCACCCTGAGGCCTGTATTGGCCTGTGAAGCTGTGACTCCTCAAAGGACAAAATAAGGCCACAGCTGAGGGCGTTTGGCTCCAACTCCAATAACTACAAAGAGACTGCAGCTGCAGGCTCCACACTCCTACAATAAATACCAACCTGAAGATAAGGTAGTTCTTCTGACTGACATAATTTACTATTTGGGAAAATTCTCCCAAAGTCCTGCCCAGATTCCCACATTTTCTGGAGCATCCTCCTCCTTTGTTTGTAAACCAAATAAATATGGGCTACCCAGAGAAGTCTTTGGCTAAACTCAGAGAATATCAAAGCTGTAAGAGAGTTAGTCCCTCCTGGAGCCCTGAAATCATTTCAGTTGTCTCATTTATTTAAGTCTTCGCAGTCCACTTGCTTGGAAGATTTTGGGCCTGATCAGCCCACAATAATTATGGGTTATTTAACCCGATAGAAAATGTTAGTGTGTTGCTGTGTATTTATTATACTCAATTTTGTACAAATGCAGAAAACATGTAAGATAATCCTGCCTCCTGCTACAGAATTTTAACTATGAGCACAAATAGGCATACATAATCATCTTGGAGCTACCATAAGAAGTACTTTAAGTCACAGAATAACACCACGAAAGCACAACTAATTCCTGTGGTTGAACATGACTTCCTTTCCTGTAAGCTTACTGAGGGGGTTGGTAGAGAACTTTAAAACTGTCCCTGAGAGCTTCTACTGCATGGAAAAGACAACTGAAATGTCCCATAGAAACAGCTTTCCTCCTACTCATAAGCAAAGAAATGCAAGATGTATTAATTTTTAAAAGTTTAGGCAAGCCTGTTCATTATTATCTGATGAGGACAAGAAACACAAACTATTCCTTCAGTCCCACCTTGTTTTGATGTTCATGTCTGAGTGTCAGGAAGAAGAAAAAAGAGAAAGAAGATAAGGTTACCAGCTGGCTGTGGATGGCATACACGCAAGAGAGTGCCAGGGGCTCTGTGGGCAGCAGCTGGGGAAGGGGCGCAGAGTTTGCGCTCTGTGTAAACCTGTATTTGCAAGAACAGCCCCGGAGGACGGCTGTGATTTCCCGGTCTCACACTCAGAATGTCTCACCCAGAGGTGGGTCAGCCAGGTAGGCCTTGCCTCAGGCTTGGGCAGTGACAGACAATAGACCAGCAAGACCTGGGCCATTAGTGTATTCTACAAAATCATAACCAGGACTATCACATTCAAAATGGATCACTATTTTTTTTAAAAAAAGAATAGTACCATAGAGCAAGTTCCAAGTTACAAATGTGTTCCTTTTCCAATACAGCTCCTGAACTCAAGCATTGCCCAAGGTTCAGCCATCGCTTTTTATAGGCTCAGCCCTTATCTCTAAGCAGAGGCCTCCCAAATGTCCCTAGACCACTTATCTTGGGCTTATACTACCTAGATAATGAAGTTTCTCTTTGCTTCTAATGATCAAAACCTAACTTTTCTTTCTCAAAAAATTCTTAAAATTCCATTTTGCATAGGGCTTGCAATTCACATTCCTTCTCCCAGTAAACATATGACCCTGTCTCTTTAGACTCCGACCTCCACTTAGCTTTCAGTTCATCTCTTCAAACAGTCCTCACCCTGCGTGGCTTATCGTCCCTGAGTACCGCATGGATATGACCCACCCTAACACCTTTGTTTAGGTTATTCCTTCAAACAGGACCACCTTGGCTTTTTGAAGTCCTGTTTGTCCTTGAATGTCAACCAGCTCAAGTCTCTCTTCCTCCAAGAACTTATTCCAGATTTTTCCTAGGTAACAAAAATCTCTTTCATACTTTTCTGAAATATTTTTGCAACTCTTCTATGGCCTTGCTCTCATGTGTCTTTTATAGGAAGTGCTAAACTCTTCAGTTTCTTGTGACTTCTGGAAGCCATTTTGTTTGACCACCATCTTCCCCACAGAGATGCCGGTAGCTAAGCAGAGCTCCTGGAATAGTTATGAGCCTCTGAATGAGGGAATAAATGAGCCAATCTCTAACATTTCTGTTCTTTTCATTTTCAGACCCTTATTTCCCTATTCTAGGGAGGTATTTAACTTATACCTCAGTTTTCAAAATTGTAAGACTTCAAGCTGGGTGTGTTAGTTTTCCATTTGGCAACCCAAGTAGCCGGGAATCCTAGTCTGTAACTGACCTCCGCCGTGGACAAGTGCGGCGCACCCTCAGGACTCATCCCTTCCTCTCTGGGCAGAGAAATGCTTCAATCTGGAGCAAAGCAAAAGTTGTCCAAGTTGGACTGTATTTATTTTCTTGTGAGCGAGGGATACTTCAGAAACTGCTCCATGTTTTAGAGCACCCTGGCCAGAAGAGGAAGAAATGCACCATCAACCAGTCTGATGGACACACAAGACAATTCTGGGCTCAGTCACTGCCAGAGGACTGACAGGTCACATTAGAGAGAAGGAAAGTACTAGAAATATGAAAAAGGTGCTTGTCGGACACAGAACCTAGTGCTGATCTGTTCTCTTAGTTCTCGTTCAGTTTGAGTGCAGTCTCAAAGTCTGAATCACACAAATCTTTCACATTGCATAGTACCTTAATAAACAAGTATTTGATTTTAGCTAACTATCTTGCCTTATACTTTCCATTTTAAAGATACTAAAACATAGACTCAGACACTAACTGATTAAGACCCTATAGTTCTTGAGTGGTACCCTGCACATTCATAATGACTACAAACATTGCTTACATGATTTAATACTAACTCCCAAGGGTCCTTTTAACCTCTGACTGGTTGTATAACTTGGGGACAGTTACCTCGTTCTCAGAGCCTCTGCTCATTCCTAAGATGTAAATGATAGTAGCATACCCTTGCATGGCTGTGTGACCGACATGAGCTTGTGGGCGTGCATGATTAGCTCAGATTGTGGACCGAGCTAAAGGCTCCCCCGTGATTACACCCAAATTACTGGCAAAGATGGCGGTATCTGGGTGTGCAAACCCAAGTAATACGGTATGCTTACTAGAGACGGGTGTTGGCGGGGAGGAACTTGACACACAGGAGCTGGGGTGTTCAGGAGGAAGCTGCATGGGAGGTGAGAGGCTGAAGATCTAAGGTCATGATGGTGTGAGACACAAGGACACCCAGAAACCTCTGGTGACAAGCAGTTGTTCATTTTTTCACCACCACATGTGAGAGAGATTTGCAGTTACAGAAGCTAACCCAGGGGTGGGACGGCACATTTGTGGAAACATCTTAATATTCACACCTCTAGGAATTTGTACAAATGTCTAACCCAGGAGTGGGATGGCACATTTGTGGAAACATCTTGATGTTCACACCTCTAGGAATTTGTACAAATGTCTGGCAGACCCATTTGTCATGGAAATATCTTTCCTTCTCACTTCAGAAGGACAGCTGATAGGTTCAACAGGACATGCCCTTGGATGAATTTAAAATGCCGGCACCATTCCTAACCCAGCACGCTTTCTTTTCCCAGCTTAAAATGAATAGATTACAATGTCAGTGAAGCTGTTTATAAAAGGCCTATGTTCAGCAAAGCTTCAGGATCCCTGTCGGTAGAACCACAGTCTAATGCTTTCCTGTCCCAACCTGCTCAGCCTTAGCTTCTTCTTCTGGAATGTGCTGGTCAAAAAAAGTACCTGAACACTTTCTAATTCCACCTCATTCAAACAAGGTTTAGGAGGTCATATGTTCTGGACCTTGCATTTTGGTTATTATAAAATTAATGAGTTAAGGCGACAAAGGCTGTGATATCACAAGGAAAATAGGCATCTCACCAAAAAGGCTGCCCAGTACCTGTCCACTGCAGAAGCCGGAAATGACATTGGAGTATCTGAAAGTTTGAAATCAGACCATCTTTCCTACAGCTACCGAGCTACTCTGAGCTAAGGGCTCCTGTACCTAGGGCTGTCTTACAAACAAACTTCACTATTGGGAGAAAAAAGCCATGATCATTTACATATATACGGTACGAGCCATTCTCGTTCTTTAAAATGCATTAAATTGGACACCTGAGTTAGGAAAATTCCACTTGATGCTATTAAACATAAAGACAAGTTCAATATTGAGATTCAGTTCTAGAATAGAACATTTCTTGGCCAACTTTTGACCTCAGGATTAAATTTAAGTATTTAAAATCTAGCAACTAGGTGGCCCAGGGATACAGCTCAGCGGCACAGCACCTGCCTGGCAAGTGTGAGGTTGTGAGTTCAATTCCTGATACAAAAAAAAAAAAATCTAGCAAGTAGACTTATATGATAAGTCCTTGTGTGGGAGGTGGCCCATTAATTAAGTTAAATGACTTAATCCCCCTCACAATTATCAAATGTCAGACCGCTTAAGATGATTTAAAACAAATATAAAACAGAAGAATGTTAGTCTTTAATTCAGGATATAACAAATTACCAAACACTGAGTTTAAAAACTTGACACCATATTGTCTATTTTCCATATTCTCCTAAAATGGCAAGTCTAACAAGAGTTGTCTGTTTTACTGTGGTCATTTCAGGTGCAAATCAAGCCTACTAACCCCAGCCCCCACTTTTCTAATCTCCTAGGCATACCTTGTTATAAGAATATATACACATATCTACCATTTACTATAATGGATATTCTATCTGGTTGACAGAGTTAAGTTCATTGGTCAAAAAGGTGTGTTTTGTTTGGTTTTGATTGATCATAATTAATTAAGCAACTAATATTAACTGCAAATTCATTTTGGTTTATTCAATATGAAAAATTGAAGATCACAGACAAACCAAATTTATGTAATGTTTTCTTTAGCCGTTAAAATTTTCTAAGTAGCCATAGCATTTTTTTTTCAATATAGAAAGAGAGATCAGAAGTTTTGAAGAGAACCGGGATTTTAAAATGCCACGGGGGAAGGAGGATGCGAGCAGTATAAATTAGAATCTGGTATGCTATGCACTACTTACCTTCAAAAGTCAAATAAAACTTTCCTCTGTCAAACCAAACGAGGGAAGGCTGTTCATTCTCTGTATGGCCAGGAGTTGAAGCGGGATGGGAAAGGTTAGGGAGAGGGAGAGAGAAGGACAAAACATGAGTTACAGAGCAGGTCACTGATCTCACTCTGGGGAAGGGTGGAGGCACTGCATGCCCTTAGCGTGCAGGGACACAGGGAAGGCTGGCGGTCTAGGTGTATTTAGTTGGGGAAACACAAAGCAAAGGCAAAGCGTGGAAGCCTAGGGGATGGGTGCCGTGGTGCGTAGCTGGACACTGGGTGCTGCGTGCCTGGAGCGGGAATCTTCCTGGCCATGCAGGGGCGCCAGCATCTTTTAACTGCACTGATTTGGGCAAACTGTCATTCAGCAGTTGCTGTAACCATTTCATCTTCAGTGTCATCCCCTTCTAGGTTTCCGGAAAGATAAACTCAGAGTTATGGGCTGTCTGAAACGTTAGCTGAGCTTTTCAATGACACCAGCGCCGCATTTCAGCTTAAAGTTCATGGAAGATCAGGTAGGTCTTCCATCCCCTGCACTAGAACCAGCTTAGGCGTGTGGCCCCAACACACCCTTTACTTTGGTACCAAAGAGAAAGTGTGGGCTAGTGGTACTCAGCGCTGTTCTCAACTAACAAGCAGTCACCGGACATGTGATCCTGAGCAGTTAACTCATTTCTTCCCTTGGAAATTCACGAAGCAATGGCATCTCACCTGTTTCGAACCTTTTCACTGAGAAACTGTCATGCAACCTGCTGCTTTTGAATACGTCCACTTAAAACCGCGTCAGCGGCATGAGGCCCACGCTGGACGGGAAATGGACAGGGTGCACCCGAGAGGCACTGGACGCTCATGAGGTGAGGAGCATATCTATGAAGTTTCCAGCATTCAGATGGGTAATGGCTTGGATTTTTAAAATCTAAATATCTAGAGATCACTCGGCTAGCACCATACCTGCAGGCGTGTCACAGCGCCTTTCAAACGAGGGCAGTTTGTCATAAAAAACATCATCTTCTGACACTACGAACCAAAGAAACATAAACGCATGGAAAACAAAAACACAAATAACAAATTCCAAATGAAATCAAGCAGTGCATTTTACTGAGAGGACAACAGGAGTGACTTTCATGGAGAAAGGAAACAAGACACTGGGACTATGACTAGGATATAGAAAGCGATGTGCCTCTTGGATAGTGATTCTGTGAGAATGAGCTAAAATGTTAAAAGGCCAGGTTTTAGCATCTGTGAATTTGGCATAGTCAGGATCAGGGGAAAAGTCCCTCAAGGGGCCAAACATGTGCCCATCCACAGGGACCTCCTGATGGGGTCCTGACAGCTCAATAGAATCACCCAGTGTGCACACCCCCGGGAAAAAGAAGCTGGCTTTCAACCTGGTACGGTACGAACCCCATGTCTTTGCAGGAACTACCCCAGTTTGACCTCGCCAGTATCCAGATTCTGTTTGCCCTGCACTGCCTTTGATGGTGATGGGCTGTGAATTGTAGACAGTACTCTCATAGCCCCATCTCTGGCTATGGTATCCGGTGGCATCTAAATGTCTTTGAGAGGTGGTCATAATAGTATGAATGGCTCTGGTCCTCAACAGTGTCACATCGTTACAGTTTCTCTTCTCACCAGCTATGAAATGCAGGTGATGGAGGTTATTATTCTATGCGATTAAAGAGAAAGTAATGCTACAACTCTTAAAAGTATGATTACAACCCTAATAGAAAATTGAATAAAATCTGTACAAAGACCCATCTACAATGTCGAGAAGTTAAGAACATAAAAGAGATAGAAAAATATCCTGTGATTTATTGGGAAATATTCTATTTGCTTGGTTGCCTAGGCTTTGGGAATAAGTCAGGGAAGCTACCTTTTGTCATTTCTTAAGGTTTTAGAATATCATCTGTTAGTTAGCTATTATCACACTGAGCTTCGTTAGTGGTTAGAATAAGTTAATGCAAACCCTATAATATCTATGGGAAGATCTATGGGACAGGCCCTTCCTACAAAATATCATTTTGTGCAGCATAATTGATGCTGATGCAGTTTTTTTTTTAAAGAAAGCTTTAGAGTTGCTGTCTGTCTTGGGGGAAATAGTTTGTGCTCTAGATGTTATAGTTCTGTTACTGAATACAAATCACTCTTGCTCAGAGTTCTAGACGAAGGGAAACATCAAAATCCCTCTGACACTTGCTTTGGTTGCCACAGAAGATTGCTCTTCGTTCATTACAGATTTCTAGGATGTTAAAAATATAAAGTACAATGTATAATTACTAATTAAAGGATATAATTCACAGTGAAATTCACAGAGAAGAAAAATTCTTTCCTGTGGTCTTTTTGCACTGGGGTCCTTAGGAAGGCTTTGCAAGAACTTAAAAAAATCACTCACACTTATAAGAAAGAAGTAATACATTTTTTTACAATTAGAGATAACTCTCCATTATTTCTAGTATTCACTCTCTGTCTAGGAATTCATTTCTTATAATAGAATTCAACATTGTCCCTATTCTCATAATATTGATGTTTTTCCAAATTGTACAGTGTGGGTCTTGTGAGCTTTATCTAGTACAAGAGTTTACTGTATTTTACTGATTCTGATGTGTATTTTTCATTTTCTCTGTTGTTTAAAATAAGGGTGGGTTTTAGAATTAATATTAAAAAAATTGCATCTTATCTTGGTGGGCAGCTTTTTCTCTTAATTGTGTTTAAGAGAAGGGTACATTTTTAAATTGAGGTTGTCTTAAATTCAATAAACTGCAATATATGGACAGTTCTGTTTTCTCATGTGGTATCAGATTTACTGCTTTATATTATAGCTGTTATGAAAAATTTCATATCCCCAGCCTTTTAGGGACATTTCCTTATATGTGTAGAAAGCTTAGATTTGCTGTTAAAAATTTAGTTCTCAAAAATTACTTTTTCAATTCCCAGTACCAGAAAAAAACCAAAAAAAAAAAAAAAATCACTTTAACGTTGGCTTATATATTCCCATATCCTTGTCCCAAGTATGGCTCAACTGCCGTAGTAGGAAATGTCAACCATGTCCCGCAGCTGTGGGAGGGAAATGTTGAGACCTCAGGTCCGGGAATCTGCTGTGGGAAGTGTCGGCCTCCCTGGGGCCCTCTGATTGCAGCGAGCTGACCTTCCAGGTCCCCCAGGATGAGGCTTGGGTGCCGAGAAGCTTAAGCACAGCCTCCCCAGGAACCGGGAAAGAGCATGAGAGGAGAAGCTGCTGTTTGTCCCTGAGATGGGTTTACTTTGGAGAGAAGGGGTGGTCGGGTGACCCACAGGAGGAGGAAATGAGGAACAGGAGAGGGGGGGTTGAAGGAGGCAGATGAAAGCAGACGAAAGCCGCAGAAGCAAGCAGGCGAGGTCAGGGTGCGCCTCAGCAGTGAAGCGGTGTGCCTGTCCTCTTATGTGGTTTTTGGAACCCCGCTGTGGTTCGTCTTGTGAGAACACATTCTAGACATGTTGAGAGTCAGAGTTACTGGCCGGCATTTGTGACTTCTGCGGCAGGGAGGACAGAAACACACGGTCCGGAGCCGGAGCTCCTTCATACTCCGCGTGTGCTGTGTTCTCTGGGAATCACAGTGGCTGAGAGGAGGTGCTAGGCGGTTCACCTGGGGACTCTGGGGGTCTGCTTCCCCAGGGCTCTTCCCTCTGGCTTTCCTCGGTGACCAAAAAAGGCAAATCACACGGGATGGGAGGGGAGCCCGACAAACCCCCTTGAGAAAGCAAAACTGTGGGGGGAGGGGATGTCCAGATCAAGGAGAGTAAGAGAGAGTTAAGAGAAATAAAGTTGAGATGTAAAAAAAACAAACAAAAAATCAGAAAGAAATGAGCTAACAGGCATGGCCGGACTGGAAATCCTAACTTGCCCCAGTTGATGACGAAGATAAGAAACACACACGGTGTAAGCCACTCCATAGGACCTTACACAAAGTTGGCTCACCGGCTATATTGCCCCGAAATTTAAAGGGTCCCTTGGGATGGTCACACTGAGAGTACATGATGGAGATGACATTGCCGAGGGCCCTTTAAGAGGCAGACACACCTCTGCCGGTTTCTCTGGGGGAACAGGTGGTTCTCATCCAGAATGCCAGGCTTGGATAGAGCTACTCCCCCCGGCCTGGGGCAGCAGCGCAGGATGGGGAGCTGGCTGGTAACCTGAGGAAGTGGGGAGGGGTCTGGATGACACAGGAAGACAGGAGAAAGGAAGGTCACCAGGGAACATGGAGTGAGAAAGCCCTGGGTTCCAGACACCATGCAATAAAAGGGGCCAGGCAGCAGGGCCTGATGGGAGGTGGGGGCAAAACCAGGCATGTGCACCTGGGACCCGTCCAGCGGAGTGGACACCCTCAACCCTTCCCTTCCATCACAGGAAAGAGGCTCAGAGGCATTTCCCTCGAATGCCAGCAATGACTTACTATTTTTTTTTTTTTCTGGGAAAATTGACCACATATCACTGAAAAAGCACTAGGGAAAAAATGTCAAAAAATTTGTGGAAGTCTCACAATGCCAGTGTTTACCCCATTTGTCAACTTCAGGACAATCCCAGAATAATGGAGAAATCATTTCACATCCAGAAAGCAAAGTGCCCAGAAAACAAACCAATTTCATGATTTCTGATGTGGTGCACAGTTGGAATTAAACATTTCCCCTCAGAGGAATAATGAAACACAGGACCTTCCCTGATGGTTTCGCCTGTACTTTTGTGACCAGCTCTGCGGGGAGCGGCGTAAGAAACGGCCTGCAGACCCCAGGAGCTCACATTCTTGCTTTTTGTGCATTTGGGAAGCACTTTGCCTCCTTCGCTGAGAACAGTCAGGTGACAGGAGCAGAACACATAGCAGAACAGTTTCAACCAGAAACACAGGGCTTGGGGATTTCGAGTCTCAAGAAACAGCCGATCAACACCACAAACAGATGAAAAGAGAGGAGAGATTGTTTACCAACTGTGGGAGTGGTGGCTGCGCTCAGGGAATTGGTTGACGATATTGAAGAGGTGCTTTCAGCCCGGGCTAAGGGTGCTATCGGAGGAGGGCTGGAAGAGTGTATGGGTGGGCTAAAGGGTCTGGACTGCAGAGAGAAGAGACGAAAAGTTAGACACACAGCTTGTCGCACTTGCTTCCTGTTGTTAAGGTCTCCTGGCCCTGGGTAGGACAACATGGGCTCTCAGAGCCTCCCGAGGACTGCCTGCACACCCTACGTTGGAAGGTGTGTGGTGGGCTGTGTGTATGCGGGGGTGTGGGCCAGAGCTGGAGGAGCTCCTCTCCACAGCCTGTGACACTGAATGCCTGCCCTAGGCTCAGAGCAGCTGGGGTCTGCTGTGTGTTCCCACAAACCCCCAGGGACCAAGAAAGCAGTGCAGTACAGAGCTCATTCACCTCTGAAGACATTTCGCACAAAGTCCTGGGCTCGGCTAGCCGAGCCATGATCCAAGCATCATGGATGTGGTTGCTTGTGACTGCTGCACACAGATGCCATTGAAATTTACCTCTGTCACAAGTCTCTTAACTGCTCCAACAGAATGTCCCCACCCCTCGCCCTTAAGAGAGTGCGAGGAACTCCAGCAATCAACACATTGGGCCACTGCTCTCCTCTTAACGGTCACCCAGAGGGCCAACCACCAACAATTAGTCTGCATTGGTGTCAAAGACCAGGATCAAACTAGGGGCAAAAACCGACTCTTGTTTGGAGTTTGACAGAATCAGACGAATCTTGGGAAAGGAAATGTCTCTCTTTGTAGGGTTTAGCACAGTGAACTCCACCCTCTTCCTTTGCAGGCTGAGGACCTAAGGGTCCTCTTCCTGTCACCTGACACCATGGCTTGAAAGCTGCTGGAGACCCTTCCCAAGCCACCTGGGAGGCCAGCTTGTGGGTGCTCTAACGCTCGGCCCTGAAGGGGAGCAGGAGGTGAAGTCCTGTGCTAGGGTATTCTGGGGTCCTGCGTGATTGGAGCCATCTGTCTCGATGGGGATGGGCGGAGGGGCACGTACCACATCTCCCACTCCAGGTTTCCCTGGAGGCAGCTTTGGTCTCGACGGAGGGCGGGGAGGAGGTGGCGGTGGAGCGCCGCTGCCACTGCAAGGGACCGAGGGAGTGGCTGGCCGAGCAGGCGACGACGCACCTGGAAGACAGGCTGGCATTAGAACTGGCTGGGGAGCCGGGCCCGAAAGCACTGACGTCACTGTACCAAGCCAATCGTGGACAGTTATTATTGTTACTATTATTTTGCAATTATCACACTAAAAACCGCAGCACATGTGGGTTTTTTTCCTTTTGGAATAAAGAAAAAAACGTACTCATCTGATCTATGGTTGATGGCAGAAGCTGAAGCTCGTTACCTTTAGTTGTCATGGGACACCCACTGAAAGGTAAATCCTTCGCTACCAAGCTACATTCTTATGACGCTTGGGTGGTTAGCAGGTGGTGTTTGTTTTGATCACCTACACACCACGCTTGTGACAAAGTTTTTGATTTTTCTTTATACTGAGGCTTTATTTATGCCCAAGGTGAAAACTGAAGAGAATTTTGAGACCTTAAATGAAGGAAAACAATTCATCCATGTTAGATTTTTCTTTTTTAAAGATGGATCAGAGAATTATGCTTCTGACCATGTGTGAAAATACTAATGCTAGCTTCATCAATGTACCCAAACACTCACTGTAAAAAAAAAAAAAAAGACAAATGATAAGAAAGTGAATTACATGTTGGTTGAGCATTTTATGGCACCAAATTTGGAGGATTTATTTCGGGAAGGAGGAGCTTGGATGTCTGTCCATGCAGGGTTTACCCGTGATGACTTTCATGGGGAATTTTGGAAGAGACTTTCAGATTTACTTTTCTGGCTGCCCATGACAAGCACATGAACACAGATGTCACACAGAGGCTGGCATGCACACCATCAGCACACCAGCGGGGTCTCTGCATTCGGAGGGGTGCCTGTCCTCGGTATGTGTCTGGGGTGCGTGGGAAGCCTCTCGGCCATGACCTCAGGGTGGTCAGATCAATATTCAAGCAGTTGCCGTTCAGAGATTTCATCACTTTGGGTAGAACGCACAGGTTTCCAATTAGCCGAAGAACATTATAGGAAATCCTATCCAGGCAACTCTCCCCTCCACTTCTCCCCAGCCTGCAGGCTGTCTGACACCACAGCACAAAACTCTGCTCTCTGGAGTCCAACAACAGCATCTCGGAAGCTAGATTTTTTAATTTTCAAAGAACTTTGAAGTTCAGTAGCCAAGGCTACCATCTCAGAATCACTCTCATCTTTGGAGTCCCTGGGCATGAGTCCCTTGTTTCTTTTTTTAAAAAATGTGAACTCTTGAGTGTATGTCTCTGTACTGTTGTGTTGAGTAAAATCCTGTGGATATAAAATCTCCTAGCGATCACGGCCCCTCCTCTACCTTCCCCTGCCTCCACCATGGCCACCTACTGCATTGCTTCCTTACTGCGCTTTTACTTTTTACTCTATGCCAGGCACTTTGTCTGTTGCCCTAACTATGGGGCTTGGAGAAAAGTACCCCACTGGAGCAAGGTAGCGCTATATCTCAACAGAAACGGGAGCTCAGAGATATTAACTCGCCCAAGATCACAAAGCTCAAATGTCATCCTCAACTCCAAAGCTCTTAAATCTCCCCTGGCTTCAGAGAGACAGTGAAGTCCCATGACATTCTGCAAATAATCTCTTCTTATTTTTGCATAGTGAGCCTATACCCATCTCTTTCCAAGTAAATGGACTTAGTCTGTGGCTAAAGTTCTCTTTAGAAAAATAAAATGCAAAACGGGAACTGTTTTGATAGACTCCACTGTGAAATATTCTTTGGGGTATTATGTTGGTAAATTTTCAGAGGACAGAAGAGCAGTATGGAGATGGGAAATACACCTTTAAACTATGGGTAGCCAACCTTTTGGCTTGAGCAATTGAGTCCTTAGAAATACCGTAAAAAATCAAAGCATAATGTTAAGAGTTTAAAATCTTTGGGGCATCTCCATTAGTAGCTGTCCAGGGCCATACATGGCATGTGCATAGGCTGCAGGTCGGACACTTGGACTCCAGGCAGCGAGGTTCCAGACTCTTCTTACTGATGCGGGAGGGTGCTGCATTCGGCTTTGGGAAACCGTGCTGGAGGAACAGCCCCAAACACATAAGACATTTCTCATCCAAGAAATAGTCTTCTGAAGCAACCTCAGAGAAAGTCAGCTGCTTTTAGTGTCCCTTCATGCTGCAGAAGAGAAGCTTAAATCTCCCTTTCGGTAACACTGGGAAGTTACTGGGGGGCTGCCCTCACGGAGTGGGGTACGGGACCACATTGGACAGGCTGTGATAGGCTGCCTTCTGATCCACCCACCTCTTGTCTGCATTTGTCTGAGCCTCAGTTTCTTTCTTTTTTTTTTTTTTAAATAAGGTATCATTCTATCTTGTAAGGTAGCTGTGACAATCCAAATTACAAATGCTTATGGAAGCATTTGCTAAAATATTAAATGCTACCCAAACAGAAGGCAATAGACACTGATGATGGTGGTGAAGACTATGTCTTTTGATACAGATCCAACCAAAAAATTGTTAATTGAAAGGTTAACTGTTTTCCTTTTCCTCTATGGATACCCCCATTTAATTCACTTTTTTCTTTACTGAACTGAAGTAATAGTTTTTTTGTGCAGTTTGAAGGACACCGCAGGAAGATGTCAGGACCACAGGGCATTTCGGGTCCAACCCTGTTCAGCAGAACCCCGAGGCCTGGCAAAGTACTTCCCTGCAGCATGGCTTCCCCCACTTCTGTGAGCAGAACAGACCCAGTTTGACCCAGTTAGGCCCAGTTTGACCCAGTTAGGCCCGCTTTGAAAAGGAGAGGAAGTGTTAGTTTCAGAAGGCTGCATGATATAAAAAGCAGGTCATAAGAGCCATTATTTATTTTTTAAACCATAGGCCATGTCTTATTTCTTGGAATCTTAAGTTTACATTTGCTAGTTTGTGTATAGTTCATCAGTAAAAGGTTAAGCAGTGAATAAACTTGGACTTCATTTATTTATGACCTTCATTGGGCCAGTTCACTCTTCCAGTTAAAAAATAAAATCCTCTAATACCAGCAAAGTACAGCTTTTTCCAGCTCCGTTACTAAGAATCAACAGTCTTTACCTTCTCCCCACACTGACCTATAAAACCTAAGGCCCTTTCGAGATTCCTGACATTTGACCTCAGACCACTGGCTGTGAAATCTGTCTTTCCAGAATGTTCTTGAAGGTCAAGCAATGACGTCACCACTTTCTTTTAAAACGGATGCCTTCAAATTGCGGAGTGGCAGAAGGGGGACTCCAGGGGCTGGGGGTGCAAAGCAGGAAGGACACATCCACAGACTTGGACCATGACTGCACCGGGAGCGTGGGATGGGCAAGGACATGCCAGGGCCCACGGGATACCCAGACAAGGAAGGAACGGCAGGAGCCCTGAAGCTGAGAGCCAGGCGGGAGAAGAGCGTCGCTTACACGGCAGCAGCCATGGCCCTTCCCTGGCACACGAGCACACTCAACCCAGAAGACGTACCACTGGTGGTCCCGGTACCACTCCCCGAGCCAGGTCCAGGGGATGAGACCACAGTCCTGTAGGTGGGTGGTGGTGGGGGAGGTGGGGTTGCTCTCTGCCCCAACCCAAAATCCTTAGGAGACGAGATTGTTTCTAAGTAATCATCTTTAACGAAGGTCTGCTCAGCCACTTTCTTCTGGACTTCTTCTAAATTGAGTGGAGATGGTACATTGCGAGGAGGACCAGCGGGCCCTGGGGGACCCGGCAGCCCTGGGGGTCCAGGAGAGCCTGGAGCTGGGGAGTCGGCTGGATTGTCTGATGTAGCCACTGGGGATGCCACCTTTTCCCTTGGAGTCAGCTCTGGAGTAACATGTTCCGGGGACGTGTCAGAAAATTGCACCCACTTTTCTTCCGTGTTAACAGCAACAGACTTGGGGGACAGCACTGGGCCAAAAATGCTGTCCAAGTCACTGATGGACGGCAGGCTTTCAGGTTGGGCCTCTGTGGCTGACTGGTCATTTCCTGTGGTTAAAGTAGTTGATTTTAAACTTGTAATTGGTTTTGCTCATCTTAGTTGCATGGGGGAAAGGGAGAGCTGAGCCAAGCCTGGTAAATATATTTCCTGGGGGTGGGTGGGCTGGGTGGGCATATTTCACGATGGAAAAGTACCGGATTACAAGCTGAATAGGACGGGTGTGTCCCACACCCATAAAGTTAGCATCACGTTTTCATGCTGTCATTTACTCTTTTGCAAGGTGACCACAGCTGGCCAGTTCTATCATCACTTAAAGTGCTGCGCGTGATACTTCTCTCCAGCCTGCCCACCAGTGCGCGAGGGTAAGGGTGACCACTTTGAGTGGGCAGCTGTGAAGCTCACAGGGAAGCACAGACTCATCCCCAAAGGGAGTGTGCATCTGGATCATGGGCCTAATTCAATACATATAGCAAGATATACAGAAAACAGAGTGCTGAAAACCACCCTCAAGTTTCGTAAAGATTGCCTACGCTAGAAAGTTAAACAGAAACATTAGGAGACACTAATAATATCTGTTAGTTTAAATAAAAGGACATCACTTTTAGCTGTAGATCCTCTTAATGTAAATAGACCAGAAACACAATAAAAAGATTAAAGACAAATCCTCATACGCGTATTTACAGACACACCCCAGGTACACACACACAGACTACTGTGCTTATTAGGACTACTACACGTACACCTGTATAGTAGAGAAGAAAATCACAAACACATCTCTATAATTTCTTTTCTCATCAGTTCTAACCTGGTAGCATCACAGGCATGACTATGACACCTTTCTCTCTGAAGCCATGATACAGAAAAACCTGTTCTGTCTTAAACATTAGCAGCAGCTATTCTTTTAAATTTGTATCACTACTACAAGGGCAAAAACACTATCTTTTGCAGCTTTCAAGAAATATCTGATAACAACTGCAATTTGAAAAACTGTAATTATTTTTTTAACTGACATTATTCAAATTAGAAATTGTTACTACATAACTAAAGGCATGACCAGAAGCCACTTTGCCTTTAGAGAACTCTCGGGCCGTGAGAACTGGCTTGATACCCCCATATTTCTAGTCTGAAGGAAATTAACTTTCAAGGCTGAAGGTACAGAGAAATGAGGTAGCGTTTTCCATGACCCCACCTTATTTATAATTGTGTTGCCGGTAGGGTCATTTATCACTAATGTAATTTATGGGAACACAGACAGCACCGATGGCTTGGGCTTGAAAGCATCTTAACTTATGAGACTCTGCGTGATTCTCTGTTGGGATTGAGTCAATACAAATTTCATAAACGATTGTGTCTCCCTTTCTTTTTTGTTGATGAATACCCTACTCTACTTATCAAACTCACCAGACTGCATACATAGCAAAGGATGGAGCTGCGGTAGAATTCCAAAAGTGACAGAGAACCTCATTCTAGGGTCCAGGTACAAGGAATAGCCATTGCTACTTCCGATCTGCAGGTGCAGTGAGACTTGGTGGGTTATGAATTGTAGGAATACATAGCATTGATTGCAATAGATGGTAAAAATGTGCTTTATAAGTCATCTGTCTAAAATGCAGTGGCAATTCCTAATCTCTGCACATCTCTTCATAAGAGACAGTAAATACTTGAATGGCTACACTGGGGAGAAATCTCCAGCAACAATCTGCTGCTCAGCCTGGAAACCTTGAGATGACTTTACAGGCTGGACAGTATTAGTTCTAGCAAAAGTTTTACTGGTTCTTGGAAATATACCAGTTGTGCTTTGAGACTAATTTTAAAATCATTAAAATGTGGTTCAAGCCAGGATGTAGCTCAGTGGCACAAGCACCTGCTTGGCAAGTGCAAGGTCCTGAATTCGATTCCTGATACCAAAAAAAAGGTGATTCAAGTAAGTGAGTGGCCCGTTAAGCAATGACTTTTCCTATTAAGAATTTTTGTTTTATTTTTACACGTAGATGTGGGCCTTGTCTACAACATTACACTGAGGAAAAATTAATGAGGAGTTACTGTTCTTATTTTTGGTGAAGCGTGGAGTGGTTTTCAAGTAAGGCTGCGCAGTAAACTGTATTAGAAGCCAGACTAACTGTCACACATTGTAGTGGACTGACAACTGCCAGTACATGGAGGGCAGTTGAGGTCCTGGGCCACTGCTTTGTTTGCCAGTCATGTGGGAACAGAAAAGACCTAAAGTTTACCTGGTCCAACCGTTAAGGGGGAGCCTGTTCGAGGTGGGGTGGCTGGGACATTTTTTGGAGGCAGTGGTGGAGGCGCTGTAGAGAGAGGAGACAAGTGTTAGCGACCTAATTGCACAACACACCGTAGGCGGGCAGGATGGTTTACGTTGCCATTCACACGCCTGAGACTGGAAACAGGATGACCACTAATGGTTTACAGTTTTTAAAGTTCGAAGCCAAAATATTAAAGCAGGACCCATTCAGATTCTCCCACTTTACTAAAACAAGAGTTTGTCAAACAATGTTAGATAACAACAGTAATCTCCAACATTTTTTATCCATTCAGATATTATTTTTAAACTTCATACCACAAGTAAGTCTCATCTCTTGCACCAGGAATTGGGGGCATTGGGTTGATAATAGTCTCCGGGAGCTTATGGCTGACAAGGGGTATCATACTAATGCACAGCTAAATTCTAGGGGAATGGTTACAGGTCAGTGGGGGCTCAGGGAGATTTTTTTTTTAACCCAGTGTTGATATTATTGCCCAAATTGAGCCTGGAAAGACTTCTTAAAGATACAGTTCTTAAATTTTAGTGTATTTTTGAAAGTCAGAAGCAAAGTGACTTGGGTCAAAAACAAATGACCAGATTCTCTTTGTAAAAATTGTAGCCAGACAAAATGTTGGGAGAGAAATTATAGTATTATGGCCCCTACCAAGGGATTTGCCCTTGTGAACTGGGCCTTCACTTTGTGGATGAAGTTAGAAATTATTGTTTTAATAGCAACATTTTTTTCTTCTTCCTTTCAATGTATGTTTTCTTGTCATTGGCCATGTTTGGTAGATTCAAAGAGTGAACCTGTTGATGTACGTACAAGCCATCCGAGCTTGATGTATTTAGATGTGCCCCCAAAGCCTCCTGTGCTGATAGGTGGGGCTTTCTGGAGGTGGGTGGATCTTGGGTGTGCGATGCTTGGATGATGTGATAACTAAATGGGTTTAGCATAGTTCTGGGTGTGGATAATGGAAAGCCCACGGGAACAGGCTGGCGTGAGTGGGTGTGGCTTACATACCTGTCCCTGCTCTCCTGGATCAGCTTTTCTCCACCACATAGTCTTGTTCTCCTGTTCTGAACAGCTACTACTTCCTTGCCTTTTCTGTCCTGAGCAGCCTAGGTTGTCCCTCAGGTCTAGCACCTCCGTGTAGGGTGATAGCCCAGGGCTTGGACCAGAACAAATTCTTGGGCTCATTTCCTTCTCCTTCTTACACATGCACAGGGAATGAAGGGATTAATGAAGGGAGAAAATGGATGAGCAAGTGAGAGGACAGAAGACTCCCTGATTCAAGCTTCCTCAGTTTCATTCGCTTTATCACCGCTTAGACAGTCTGCCACAGCTCTTTCACGCTGAAACCTTGTTAGCATAACAGCATTTCTTCTTCACATTGTACAGCTTAAATGTTGCTTCTATAGATGTTCTGGAGTGGCCTAATTTCATCATGCAGACAGACAACACAATGAGTCTCTTATTTTTCCAGACAGAGCAGACATATAACTTACTTCCAGTGGGAAAAGGCCTTGTTAGCTTTGGTGACTCCAGGCTCGGATTAATTGGTTGGCCCGAACCCCATATCTCAGGCTGATCTAACAGAACTGGAAATATAAAAAGAGAATTTCCCAAGGTAAGTTAAAAAAAGAACCACCTCCCTACCCCGACTTTAGAACTTAAACTTTCAATTTAGCTGAGCTTCACACAATAATCTTCCCCCGTGCGTCGTACTGGAGGAATAATTTAGGAATGCTCTTCTTTCTTTTCAAGCAGAGCCTACAGCGTGGGGTGTTAAGGTGTGAAGGGGGTGTATCTGTAGGCACATATAGCTATAGACAAGCTTTCAAAATAGAACCTGCATCTTCTGCCTGGTTGGACACTTAAGGATATTCTAAATATCAGTACCCACACTGGCTCTGTTTTTGGTGCCCATTTGAAAATTCAAGCATTAATCTCATGGAAATTTGCTTTGGTATAAGGTGGTTTATTTAAAGTGAGCTATGAATATGCTTCAAAACTGAAAATATCTAGGTTCTAAGCAGTGGTTCCTATCTTTAAAGGAGTTCCAGGGTCCTTACATAAACCTTGCACAATGTCATAAAAAGTCACACTATTCTCGAAATGCTTGGTGACTATCTTCAGAGGACCAGAAAAGTAAACAAGTACTTAGGCACCTGAAGTAAGTCAGGATAATTAGGTATTGGGACTGAGGATATAGAACTTAATATTTTTTTCTTTCTTTGCTCTTGTTTTGATTTTTAAAAATTGCTATGGTAACCATGGACCTGGCCCACTCTCCTCAGTAAGGGTTGCCATAGTGCGTTACATTGAAGAGCGTGGCTGGGGAGTCAGTTGGAGCTGGCTTTGAAATCGGCCCCTAGACTTACTGTGGACCTTGGGCAAGCCACAGAACCTCTCCGAGTTCCCTTCCTTCGGTGGAAAGTGGAAAGAGTACGAGCATCCCCAGGAGTTACTGATACGATTGAAACGGGCGATGGACATAAACCCAAAGTCCGTAAAATGTACGCAAAACACTTGTCACAGAGCTCTGATTATCCGTTATATTTTGATCCTCACAACACCACCATATGGCTGATTTTAGTGCCACTTTGGGGAGAGGAAACCAAGGGTTTTCAGTGATTAAATAACTTGTCTGTAGAAAAGTAGAGAAACCCAGATCTGAACCAGGCATATTTGATCCCAAATTACAGGATTTTGCCCTGAAGCCTTTTAAATTAGCAATAGGACATTCAGCCAAAAGCAGTGCACAGTGAGAAGGGGACTTGTAGCCATCAGAAGAGTGGGTGCGGGAGGTGCAGGGGTGGGGATTTTACAGAACTGCGGGGGCAGAACAACTCAAGGAGCCATCAAGCCAGACTCCAGCCGGACCCTCACCGCCCGCAGCGCACAGGCAGTGTTGGTGCACAGGCTGTGAAGGTCCTGCGAGAGGGCACTCTTGTCTTGAATGCAAAGTGGGACACTGCCTTGATGTTTAAGATGTGTTTCGGCTTTTTATATCCAGCTTCCGTACAATTATGGAACTTCTTAAATAGGCAGATTCTGGGTTCATATACCAAATCCCACTCTGGTCCCCTTACAGTTACGTCCCTAGAAGAAGAGCTGATCACAGCTGGGTTGAGAAGACAAAGGACAGCCTTTCCACGAGGCCACCTGCACACCGGGATTCCGAGTTACAGACCCTGAAGCACAGGAGGGAGTTCAGGGACGCTCTTCATACGTGTTCCTGACTCAACCACTGGGAATATTCGGGGTGGCTGACCCCCTCTCCATTTCCCTACAATGAAAGAGTTCCTAGCTGGCCACCTCACATCAAATTCTCTCCAGTGGGCTTTGGCGAGAAGTGACATGTGCCTCTACGACTTTCCTAGTGAGTCCATTGGCCTCTCCCAAGCCCCTTCTCCTCACCTGCAGGGCATGAGAGCCGGAGCAGTCCTCTTGAACTCAGAGATGAACTAGGTCTTCCCCACCAGCCCTAGACTGTTTTCTTCTAGACTGTGAACCTGAGGAGAATTTCTCCCTTGTTTAATTTACTATCCTTTGAGGTCTCTCCGTTAATCCTGGCTTAGTCTACTCCTCAGGTTTCCAAGTCTCGTTTCCCTCAACTTTGAAGGGCACTCCACCAATGAGTCCAGGCAGATGCTGTTTTAGCACACGGACAGCTTGGTGTTTCTAAGTCAAACAACTTCCATGAATATGTTCTGTGTTATCCAACTTGTCTGCCAGGGGCACACGATTTGCACATAGACACATTCTGGGAAGAGATTCGATCTCTTTCCCAGAGGGTTTGTTTTATATCAGCAAGGTATACACAGTACTTCTCACCATCAGGATAACATGGTTAAGTTTTAAGTATCAGATGTTTAACTCTAGAATAAATACTGAACAGGTAAACACAGCAATAATGCCAGAAATGAAGGTCTGTCTTTTACTAAGTTGTAAAATGAGAATCATCCAGAGTCTGGAGGCGGCAAACGGTAACCACAGTGAGTGATCCCAACACCACCTGAGCTCAGAGTCAGCGTGGTCAGAGTCTAGATCAGAGGGCAGTGACAGCCACGAGTGTGAGGAGGTCTCCGCCACCCACGCCTGGGCTCGCACCGCCCTTGCTGGGGGCTGCGTCACAGGACGTTTACTCCCAGGCAAGGGCTGCAGCGGATTTGCGCTCATCTTTACTGACCTGGTGAGGTGTGAACTTGTCAGCGATTAGTTATTTCTGGAAGTAAAATTTCCAATGCCCAAATAATGGAAGTTCACAAATTACACAGGAGTGTAGTTCTCCACAGCACATCTCTGAGGAGTGCTCACAAGACACAGCGAATGCTTAAATAAAAAATGCATTCTGATAAAAATTGCCATTGGGGGCTCCTTGAGTTACACTCCCTCTCTTCAAACACACTTATCCAGTCATTCTTGCCACTTTCTGGAGTTCTTTTTCCTGAGTGTATTTATAAGGTATGATCAAAAATAGACTGACTGCTGCTGCTGAGGGCCATCTAACAGAAAAGCAGGTTCACAGAAACATAATGTCAGGTTCTCATCCATATTATTCACAGGATCCGGCACTGTGTGACCTCCAGCTCCTCCCCAAAGTCAGAACGAGCAGGAGAGGGAAACGTTTTGAATGGATTCAGGACATGGAGGCAGCCTGGACAGCACAGCTAAAGACCCTCAGGAGAGAGGACGCCAGAGCTGCTGCAGGACATGGCCGGGATGGTGGGACGTGTGTCTGAAGTGAGGGGGAGGATTTTGAGGGGGATTCATGGCAATGTGTCTTTTAAAATTTTGAACATCTTTTTTCAATAACACATTGTGTACTGAAATCCATTCTTCCCATGAAAAGCCAATGATACATTAAAAACACGCCTCAGAACACGTATGTTTACTCTAGATAAGTTACACTTTAATGGAAAGTAAAGCATTTTCCTACCTTCTGTCTTCTGCTCATCGAAAGCTGACTCTAGTGGAGGGCCAAAGAGGGGCGCGAGGGCTGCAGTGTCATCGGGAGGCTTTTTGCTAAATCACACACAGGAAGCCAAAATGAGAGGGGGCTCAACAATTCATGCTCAAAGCACACAAACTTTCAAATATTGGTCTTGGTAAAACAAGAGTGTGCACGCCTCCCTGTGCTTGTGCACAGCTAGGAAGTATTACGTGAAGATGTCAAATCTATTAGGGGACAGGAGAATTTTTGGGAGGGAAAGACCCCTAGTTCTCAGTGCAGGCCCAAGGTGCCAGAGCAGCAGAAGTAAGATGAAGGAGAAAAACTCTTTCAAAGCATCCTGATCCTTTATGTCTAGAAGAGATAATACTAGAGACACAGGTTTATTGTAGAGCACCTGACTGTCCTCAGATCTGAAGCCATTTATGTGTGTCTACCCCACATCTCTGTGTTGTGCCGTTCACGGTTACTAGAAGTGGATATTCAGTGACAAGCTGCCAGGAAGTTTGTGTGTGAATAAGAGGCTAAGCTGCCCAGCTCCTAATATCATCGTCTCCCTCCCACTCAACGGGCCACTTACAGGGTCCCAATGTGCCAGCACAGTGTCTCAGAGAGACAAAAACACAGATATCAAGGGGAATAGGAGGGCGGTAAGCAGACGCTCACCCTTTCTCCTGCTTACTAAGCTACACTGGTTGTCAAGAAAAGGGAGAAGGATATGGGTGCACACATGTGAGCCCAGCACTCTGGGAAACAGGCAGGGGATGGCAAGTTTAAGCCCAACCAGGGCAACTTAGTGAGATCCTGTCTCACAATTTAAAAAAACAGTTAAGAAAAGGACTAGGAAGGTAGCTCGGTGCACAAGCCCTGGGTTCAGTCCCCAGTGCCCTCCCACACACCCACACAGAAAGGAGGAGGAGGAGAAGGAAGAAGAATGTTGTACAGATTTCTACATTTCTTTTCCAAATGTGACTCCCCTCATTCAACCTAAGGAGTTCTTTTTGTGTCAGTGAGGGGCAAAGGTGGAGGAAGAGGAAGAGGAGGAAAAGCAGGGGGAGAAGCTTTGAAAAGATTCTGATTTTAAAGGGAAGTGGTAGTCTTTTCGGAAACCCATGCACATGGGTACAACACTTCACTCAAAGAATACAATAAGACAATGCTTTGTTAAAACGCAAAACCCACAGAGAAGGTCCTTTTGACGTGTGGCCGGTGGACTGCACCAAGAAATTGTACCCAGTGAAACGAGCCTCTCTTCTTGGGCTGCATTTATGAGAAAGAACCAGACTGGACCATGCAGTGTGAACTTACAGAGGAAGCCTTCCCACAATAGGGGCCGAGAGTTTAGCTCAGAGGATACCTGCTTAATTCTTAGAAGCTCGGGGCGCCTTGCATAAAACATCACGAATGTGTTTTGTGCTCACCTTAGGAGTTCTGGAGTCGGTGTGGAGCGCCGGGGTCTCGCCACTTCTTCACCTTATGCACAGGACAAAAGACCGGTTTAGGCCCACTTTTACCCCTCCTTTTCTGTGTCTTATGAACTATGTTTGGAAATACTTAGCGATTTAAGTCCCATCAATAAACAACTCAATCGGAAAACTTTATGAAACCAACCCTCCCCCCAGCAATGCAATAGCCATATGTCTGGCACCTGTAGTGGCACTTTCTCTGGCATTGATAAAACCTCGTTAACCAAGGAGCTACCATAAGCAAAGCCATTGAGTGGAAGATTTGTATACTGCAGAGTTGAGGAACAGCATACCGTTCTCTCTTACCACAAGGGAATGCTAAGCCAGGCCATCTGCACATAGTACACGAATCCAGTATTCTCTGCCCATTCTTTTCTTGAAACTCCAAGAAAATGTTACATTTTTAGCTATGAATCACGAATTTAGAATTTCCTAGAATGTGTTGTATGCAGCAGAGGAAATCATGCCCTATATATTATAACCTATCGCGTATACCTCAGTTGACTAAAATGTTTCCCATCAAATTATACTAGAATATGCAGGTTGCCTCGACCTTTGATTCTTTGCCGCCCTCCTCTGCTCCCCTCTAGATTACATTCATTTCTAAACTGAAATGATAGAGCAAGAGTTGACTGATATGGGAAGATAATAGCAATGCTTCTCTGAAAACATAATCTTTTTGTGAATTTAAACACTAATCATTTGGAACCCTCAAGTGACCCTTAATCATAAAATAAGGATTCTTTACTGTAAAAGGTTTTTTTTTTTTTTTTTAAGAGTAAGCCTTAGCAATCAAACCCAAGGCTGAATAATTCAAACGTATATATCCGCCAAGATTCAGGGAACTATTTCTTCTTTTACATTGTACTCTATTTCTGGTAGCTAAGATATACTTACTGGATAAGTTCCTTTTAATTGCACCCTAGAATTAGAAATAGACACTATAAGGCTTAAGACCACATATAGGTTATGTACAATATGTATTATTTCTGTTATTGCAATTAAACTAAACTCAAAGAAATGGAGGTGGGGATGAATGAAACTGTTCTCAGGGTGGCATTCATATTGGAACTTCCAGACACACACGTACACAAACCAGTGTTCATTTCACTCAGAAGTTACAGCAAGGAAGGGAGGGTAAGTGCTAAGGCTTCTGAATGAGGCAACCCCTTACCTGGGTGTGTTTGGGACTTTGAGGCAAATACTGAACAGTCCATTAAAAACAAAAACCCTTTTGAATTCCAGAAGAGAAGGAAGTAAATCCGAATTTCCCATATGGTTGACATTTGAAAATCCTAGAATGTACTTAGGAGTACTGTCTGCTCTTAATTAGATGGAGCCCCCAAATCACTAGTGGAAACATTCACAGGTTACTAGCATGGCTTAAGGGAGAAGTGGCCAGTGTCAAAGGAATGGGAACCCTGGGGGAATGTGTCTCTAGACAGACTGTCTTTTCCGGGAGCCAGGGAATTCTACACCACCCACACACCCTCCCCTCTGGGACCTGCCACCAATTTAAGAATGGGAAGTGATTTGTTTAGCTCAAGGCATTATGATATTGGGATAGGACTAGCCCAGGCAGGAATATATAATATGAGCAGATCGCAGCTAGATTTACAATGCCTCAGCATAAACGTATTCAGATCATAAAAGAATTGATTCAGTACAATGTTTGGGCTCAAAAGCAGAAGCTGTGAAAGGTTCTTAGCAGAGGGTGCTAGCAGAAAAGTGGGCCACCAGGCGGACTGCATCTAGGTGGGGCTTGAACCCACTTAGAAAGAGGCGCAGTCTCCCGCTGAAATTATCACATGTTTCCTGGTGGATGACTCTGTCTTTCCAGCTGTATTTTAGCTTGTTTTTCCTAATAATGCAATGTTTCCCCCTACTATGTGTCCCAGACAGAAAAATACTGCACAATGACAAAAAACCCTTTAAATGATTACAGCCACTTAAATCTGCTACAGTCATTGGGGGTGTTTGAGCACATTTGTTTTTGGATTCATAAAGCTGTGGACTGAAGTTTAGAGAACAAATTGCTTAAATGAAGCTACAGTGTTTTCCTGAGTTGAGGACCCTGACATCGTGAGAATTACATTAATAAGGTCCTGCTTTAGTATCAAGTTGAGAACCACAAGATTAATGGGCTGGCATCACGGGGACAGGGCACACCCGGTGCTGTGGGAACTGGGATCCAAGTGTTGGGGGTTGCGGGGTCAGAGCTGAGACTTCTTCACCTCTCTATTCGATCCCTTTTATTTAAAGTACGATACAAAGGCAAACAGCTTCTTTCATGTTCACCAGTTCCCAGGTACGGCAATTCCCTCCACAGATATTTATTACTGAAAGGCACCGAAGAAGAATCCCCTGTAACATGTTTATCAAGTACTCCTCTGGGAGGAATAATCACAAGTTAAGTGCCAGCCACACACGGAAGAACTAGACGAGAAAACACGGTTGTCTAAAAATTAGAAAGAAGAAGTATCGTCGGGTGAGAAAGGAGCAGACATTTGAGTGATCAGAAGCAAGTCAGCACCGGACAGACAGTCTCACTGTCGGCTGAACCTCGCCTGCGGATCTTGGATGGCCCTGGTGCGGGGCCAGGAAAATCCAGAGCCAGGTGAAGGTGGTGCTGAGCACACTCAAGGAGGATGCCCGGTGAGTTAAAGCTCCTCACTGAGCAGGCTTCCCTCCTTTAGGGTCCCCAGCTATGCAGCTTAAACAGAACCACCAACTTTCCTCCCGGGCTGGGTATTTGCCTCAAACAGCAATTGATTACTTGTATTGACAAGGGTCTGGGGATACTTTAGAGAGGCTTGTTTCAGTTTCATCTCCTCTCTCAAGAGAGTGTGTGTGTGTGTGTGTGTGTGTGTGTGTGTTGGGGGTCACATCAAGCAAAGCAAAGGCTCTTCTTTTTCTTCCTTTAAGCAACTGAGATTTCACTTTGGCTCTGTATCTTCCCTGCCAGAGCCATCCTCAGTGATGAAATTTACATTCATCAGTTTAGGGTTCGCACTTGAAAGCACCCCCCATGCTCTAGATGGAAATTATAAGCATGTATCATTGTACTGACCAACATAAACTAGGGCCCAAGGACATAGTTTGAATTCAGGCTTAACACAACGTGTTTTATAAACCAATTCCTTATTAATTTCTTTTTTTTTTTTTACAGTTTTATTGTTATTTGCTTTGCTATCAACTTATATGGTGCTTTCTGGCCAACCTGCAGTCCTTAGACACACACACACACACACACACACACTTGTGTACACACATGCACACACATCTATTTTTCATGTTTAGCACTGAGTTAAAATTCCCATCTATTAATTTAGACCATTACAGACAAGTCCTCTGATAGTTATGTCACTTCAGAGAGCCCAAGGCTTGGAAGGTGGCATCCTAATCCCACCTCACTCACACCAGGTTATCATAAAAGCACCGGACTTGGCCTGGCTGCCCTGCCTCTGCAGTGATTTTCTCTATATATGTTTAAGAGAAAACATTGAGAGTTCTTACCGGGCTGCGCCTCTGTGACCAGCAAAAAAGGAAGAGAGAACAGACACCTAGTCAGAGAATGACGCGTCAGTCAATAGGCGTGGTAACAGATTTCAAAACAGCAACCAAACCCGCGCTGCCGATAATCAGGCCAGGGGAGATGGGCGGACATGGGTCTAGGGCATTGCGAAGGCAGAGTGGGCTTTCAGGACCTTTGCAAAAGACCAGGGTCTAAGCCAGCTTTGCCCATGTGGACGTCCAAGCTTTAGTACGTGCACACATAAGCATGGCAGAAACACACAAAATCTTTACTGATGTTTTTCATGTTTTGCTGTCAGTTTCTCTCCAAGTTGTTTCCAGTGTCAGGACTTGGAGGACAAATGGTGCAGGGATAACCTTCTCCCCAGGGAGCAGAGTGTAGTGGTCTCCCAGATGGGACTCATTCGGCACCTCCAGAGCCTGAAGTGAGGCTTGGAGACAGAGGGTGGGCAGTAGACCGCCTCCTGTCTGCTTTCTCTTGAGTGTTCTTAGAATGTGTGCTTCTCAGACTGTTTTTGGTGTCCGTCCCTGACCTGCTGAAGCGGGCAGCTTCTCCCAGTGGGTAGATGAGGGAGATGGGGGTGGGGAAGCCCCAGACAAACACAGGTGGAGACGATGTGACCTGCCCAGTCTGACGTGGAACACTGGTGCGCTAATGGCGTCTGCTGGCACCAGGCGGCACAAGGCCTGTCTTTCTTTCCAGCCTCTTCAAGGCGGCTGTCCATGCGCCCCAACAAGCTCTGATTGCCCCCCTGTGGAGGCTCTTTCTACCTAATAGGAGGCGCAGGGAAGAGAGGCCTACAGAGTCTCCCTTTGGGGATGTGGGTGAATCTGGAATTCACCGCGGGTCCCCTCCCACAGCTGAGGCCAGGAGCAGGCACCCATGAGCGGGAAGCTGCCCAGGTGATGAGAGGGACCATGCGCCAGGACAGAGCAAACAGGCGGGGCGCCTGGCACACCAGGAGGCCTCCACAGATGCCTAGGCCTTTTGACGTGGAGAGGGAAGTCAGGTTCTGAGACTCAGGTTAGTCTGTCACCAAAGACAGAATTCAGACCTCTGATCTCCTGTCCTCCCTGCTTGGGATGCCCCCACTCAGGAATGGCTTTGGAAGACTTATGAGGCAGAGATCACTGTGGCAAACACCCAGCAATGATGACTTCTCAGACTAAATTTGTAAATGACTAGGACTTTAGACTTACTTACTTCAGTCAACTTTACTTGTGACAGTTTAGACTTAAGTATGGTCTTATCTTTCAGACACCGGTCTGTATTGATCCCCCTTTTCTTATAAACCTGTGTGCTTAGTTGCAACTGACAGAAAATCAGACAAGAAATGGGACACATAAACAATATTTGTCAGCTTAAATTCCCTTGGCTTAACCCATACTGTGGGTTTTTTTTAAATTGAGATGGGGTCTTGCTATATAGTTCAGCCTGGCCTAGAACACACAGCAATCCTCCTGCCTCAGCCTCTTGAGTGCTGGGATTACATGCCACCAGGCCCAGCCATACTAACTTTTGAGGAAATCTGAAACGATCTTATGTATAATGATTTACACTTTTATTCTTTAGCAATCATACTAAAGGGTTTTAGAGAAAATATGAGAATTTCATGACAAGCTTTCCAAATATAGCAAACAGGAGACTAAGATAAAAAGTTCCCCAATATAAAATTATGAAAAATAATGCAAAATAAAATGATAGTTGCAACCATTTTGAAGTGGAATCTTAAATATAGGAAAATTCAACAATTTAAGATGATACAAAATGCATTTCAAGGTAATTTCTAATGTATTAATCCATTTGAATTAAGTTATATCTTAATTTCCAATGGGTTAAAAACCTATGCTTTTAATCGGTAGTTCATACGGGTTTGTTTGTTTGTTTTTATAGGAAGAGACAGCATTCTGAGACAGCATTTCAGAAATTCCATTTGCAAAATTCCTTCATCAAGAACTCACTGCCCCAATTCACATGGCCACAGACTGATTAATGAGAAGCCAAAAGGCACAGCTAGAAGCTGTGTGAAGTGTAAGGCACAAGGGCTCAAGGAGTATAATGAAACGCTTTCTGAAACACTCAAGAGAAAAAGATTTCCTGAAGTCCAAAGGAAGGGCCTGACATGCATTATCACCATGAAAAAGCCGCTGGATGTGAGGGTCAGCAAAGTTACCATCAGCTGGGGCAGAAGCATCTTCAGCTTCACAAATTTTATTTTATCCTTTCTCCTGTCATTTCCTACAAATTTTAGGCACTTAGGTAGCATTCTGTTTGGGTCTACCAATATATAAAATTTGCCTCAAGTCTTGATTTATTCAAAAGACTAAAATTCAGAAGATGACCATTCAGATTTTTTTAAAAGTTCAAATGCTCTAGTTTTTAAATGTGGGCTAAAATTATTTTGAACCACACAGACAAAATACCTATTCAGTTGTTTAGGGTCTGCAGGTGGCCACTTTGTCTCTGATTGCAGATACTTGTATCTCGCAGAATGAACCCCATTACAGCTTCCCTGATTACTCAAGCAGAGACTGAAATTGGTCTGCTTGTTTTCTGAACAAAATTCCCTATATTCCTAATTGGACATCAGTTGTTAAATTCTCCTGGTCTTCTGGTGCATTGCGGAAAACTTTGTGGAAATCATTTTATTTAGGTTCCTACTTGAATTTGGGTGTTCAACTCTGAGGTAACTCTTACTGTGTATCTTGAGGTTATTTTCAAAGTAGGTTAGCATTGCTAATCATTGTTATGATTTGGTCCTAGACTGAAGATGTTTATTTCAAAATGTATATGATTTTTATATATGAATGTGCCTTTAAAAGAAAATACTGTGGCTATGTCCTTATAGCCTCCAATGTCTTTACATCATAGTAGTTTTGTGTTGTTACTTTAGCCTAACAGGATTAATTTAAATTGGTTAACTAGGATGCTGTAGGTCTTTATCTCCCCACTCTCGTGCTAAGGATTAAACCCACAGCCTCATGTGTGCGAGGCAAATGCTCTTCTACCGAGCTACATCCCCAGCCCCTAGGATACGTTAGTCTTAGTCAATGTGGATAAGTTGTTTTGAGATATTTATAAGAAGCAACCAAACATAATCTCTCTTGCTTGTTAAATTAACTAAATAACCAGCCTGAGTTTTTGAAGTTTTGAAATATCTTCATTTGCTAAATTCGGTCTTACAGGGAAACAGATAAAAATGGGTCATAAACTACAAAGCACCAAACAAATATTTTTATATAGTCTAGACATAGCAAGCTAAGTGATTTGTGTTACAGAAATTTCTAAGAAAGAATTAGAGCATAGGATCATTACGTTTATTATTATGACCCTAGCCAACATTCCTATTTGTTTTTAAATGTGTCAGGACGAAGACAAACTATCTGGCAAGTGTCCTGCTATTGGGTTTGTCCATATTTAAATTTGTTCCTGTGCATTGCAAGCCCAAGTGTGGAGAATGCCATTGTTTTCAATGAGATGTGGTTAGGAGATCTTGAAACCCCACTTGGGAAGTGGAGCAAAGAACCTGCTGGTAACCAACACACCGTTCAGTGACGCCCAGCTGAGAAGCCAACAAGCTGAGCATTTGCTAAAGAAAAATGAGGCAAGGGCATTGGAAATGAAGTGAAAATGAAAAAGTGTTCTTATTAAAGTAAGGACAGCAGGAGGAAAGCCAAGGAAGAACAGAGAAGTCTGAACTTCCCACAGGTAAATTTCGTTATTAGAAGTGGCCACATTTTGGTAATCCAGAGAAGGATTCAGGGTCAAAGAGGGTCCACGGAGCCGCGGACACGGAAGAGTTGTTACGAAAGAGTACCCGGTGGTCCTTCCTGCCTTATGGCCTGGGACCCACTGATTAGAAGTGGGCATGCAGCTTGGGCACAGTCAGAATCAATCATAGATGCTCATTTTAATTTGGGAAACAAAAAGATTTGGGCCCACATTTTGATGCATTTTAATGTCTGGATCCCATTTTGTTGTTGTTTTTGTGCTTCCCCTTCCTTCTCCCTCCTGTCACATGGACTTCCTCCAGTTAAGTTTCCAGTTCAGGTAAAGATGGCGGCACTTCCTGCTCAGGGGAGTGAAGTAAAACCAACCAGCCACTTCTTGGTGTTTGCTAATATGAAAACACTTTTCATATTTTAAAGCAGAGGTCACCTGAGTTGGCCATGCACGGGAACATGTTCCCACAGAGCCAGGCAATGGAGAACGTAATTTCCCTTTCCTTCCCCACTTTTAATTTATTCATTATTTTAAAAAGGCATTCTGCAATCCTCTAAAACAAAAAAATATAGGTATATCAGATTTGTGCTACCACTAAATGTAACATCTGTGCGGCAATTTACATTTTATGAAGATCTTGTTTTTAGTCACTGACAGTTTCAGGAGGGGATACTTTGATTTACTAAAACAAAAAGTAGCAATAACAACAATAATAAATCCTTTATCCTCCCAAAATGCCCCTTTCTCAGGCAGTTATACATTAAAAAATTAACTTAAAGTATTTGTCTGGTTCATGGTGTCTATATTTAGCTTTACTGATTGGAGTGGGAGCTGCAACAAAGGAAACTTGGGACCTAAGAAATTTGATCATATGCCTGTAAGGAAGGCAGAGGTGAATCTTTACAAAATTACCCCATAGCCTTTAATAACAAGGTTGCAAAAATCACTTAGCAACCGACTTCCTCCTTTCCCCATGTGGTATAATTAGACCTTGTCCTGGTTTGCCAAAGTTTGTTTTCAATGTTCAAAACCTTGTTTAGGTATCAAACACAGTCAGTCATTAGATAGGCACAGGGTGAAAATGAACAGAACGAATCATGTTTGGCCAAAACACAGAAAGGACTTGGTATTTCTTACCGGACTTTTCCTCTAACAGCGAAGGCGTGGGGAGGAAAAATAAAGAGAGTGTGAGAGAGTGACCTGCATCTTCCAGAAGTGCTCGGCTGCCCGCTGAAGGCAGCTCCTGAGGCAACTGCTTCCGTACATGCTCCCTGTGCGTGTCTGCTCCCAGGGCCATTTCTGGGCTGTCATTTTAGTTCTGGTTTCAGAGGGCACACACAGGCACACAGGCTCACACTATGCTCTATTCCATCAAACAGATTTTCACCTTGAAGATAGAAGTAGGCCTTGTAACATGAGAAGGGGCTGGCAAACACCTTGAGTGCAGTGTAGCCAGGAGTGGCCCATGAAACCACACGTGATTTTTCCCCGCAGAAACCCCATATCTTACTAGGGAGACTGGTACTTACCATCTCTTCCCAAGTCACACCGGCTACAGCCCTCTGCGTTCCTCTGACCCATCTCTCACCCCACTAATTTCATGAACTGCGCCTTTGCTGGTGAGCAGCCCTGGCCCCTGAGCACTGCTGTCCTAGCAAGGGCCTCGGGGACTCTGGCTGGCACAGGTGCTCCATGGCCTCCTCCCTGTGATTCCTGGTCAGTGATCCAGCTTCCGGTTTCATCTCCCAGCCCACCCTCTGCACTGTGCCCAGAGTCATTTTCCAAAAACAGCAAAGGACAATAGAACCTGCAGTAGCTCCCCAGTAACCCTGAAACAGAATGCAAACTCCATGCCACGGCATTCGATGCCTTCCGCACAGGCTCCAGCTTCTCACCTTCTGCTGAAAGGGGAAAACTGCTCAAGAGAAATTGTTCTTTTTAAAACTTTGCTCTTTTGAAACTGCCTAGCTCTGCTTCGTGGCTTTCTAATTACTTTCTTGACCCCTGCAAGCACGAAAGCGTAACCGAACGTACAGGCCTGATTGTACCATTGTACCAAGCTTCATACAGTGATGAGCATTAATCGACCCTTGTAACCGATGTGCTCACCCTCCTAGCTGATCAGAAGAGCTGCCAGGCTGCTCTGTCTCTCCTTTGTACCTCCCGCTTGTGCATCATAGAAAAGCCCTAGACCATCAAAGTCGGGGCCTGGCATCCTGGGAATGATCCCGATCAGTGCCCGTCTAGGTGAAGAAGTCTGTCTCCAAATCCTGGGCGTCGTTTCGGTGTCTGCTTGCTGTTGCACTACCAAGGTCCTTCTAGGAAGCCTGCCCTGTCCCATCACCATCCCAGGTCCTCAGTGCTCATGCTCTGCGCTGCTTCTCCTTGTCCCCATGTCCACCCCGCACTCACTGTCCAAGCCCGGGAACGCTTCTCCGAGAAGACCTTTCCCCAGCCTCCCAGCCTGCAGAAAATGTTCCTTCTCTCAGTCGATTGCAGCAATCCTCTTGCCCAAAATAGTAAATATTGAAGGCTTTTCTATTTTCTCCACATTTCCTAGCCTCAGGGAAAACAAAGGTACACACGGTTAATATATTTCCGCAGTTCTTGTTTTGTTCTGCATTATTTCCATGTCTACCCTATAAAACCTCACAGCAAGGGTTGCGCACATATTCTTCCAGCGCCCAGCCCACACTGCTAGGTGCAGGGAGGGACTCAAGACATGTTTATGGATTCTCTTTTGAGGACAACATTAAAATATGATGCAAGTGTTTGAAACACAGTGAGGTATGGAAAGATGAATTTCCCTGTAAAATAGGGTTGACCTGCAAGAGGCCAAGGCAGGTGGTGCCGTTTGTGATGGTTCCTTCCAGGCTCCTCTAAACATTCTACTTAGCTCCTCTTCAATTGTTAGGTGCTCTCTCTACCCGTTAGTGACCTCGGCTCCAAGGCAGTGGCATCGCTTTACACAGACATCTGTGTGGAATCATGGGAGATCTGCAGGCTGGAGTTTTCTTCTGCAGCAGGTGTGAGTGCTTCAGAATCCCCGAGAGCCACCAGAGGGGAGTGTGTCCTGGTGCCACTTTCAGATGCGGACCTTTCTTGGCAAGTGAAATGAAAATTATTAACCAGGTCCAAGTTCTCAGTCTACAGATAGCCACCATTTTGGGATAGAATCAAATTGCTTTAAAGGGGGTGTCAGGGTGGAAGGAAGATCAAGAGACCTTGTGTTCTCACATGAGCTCAACCCCTGATTTTCTGGATGTCTTTGGGTGAGTTGCACTGCACCTCCATTGTGTGATTTGTAAGGAAGGGGTAATTGCTACCTTGTTTGAGGATGAAGCGATGAGGATGCTGATGGTAGCTAACACTCAGTGAGAATGTATTGTGTTTTTGCCTTGTGTGGCCAAGGTCCTCACCATCTGTGACTGCCTGAGGGAAAAGAAGAGGCTCAGCAGAACTTCCAGGCCATGGTTACCAAGGGGCAGAGCTGGGGTTAGAGCCCAGACTGTGTGACTCTGGACAGTCTGATCCAAGTGGGCCTGAGGGTGAACCCACTTTCTGGGCTCTTATCAGCATTAAGATTTAGCAACAACAGAGCTTACTGCTTGCAGATCACCCCTAGAAAATGATCTTGGATCTTTCCAGTGGATCATGCCAGGTGGTTACGGAGGGCTCCTACAGCAAGTTCCTTGGAGGCGATCCTGTGCCTCTAGGGTGGTTGTAGTCTCCAGGGCTAAACTCTGATGACAGGTAAATTTCTCCACCCTCTTTGGAATTAAAACCTTTCATTCAATTAAAATCAGAAGAGTAAACATGAACATGAGAATGATGAGGGTTACCATGGCCTTTTTACATCTTCCAGCCCAGGCCACAGGGTGTATTAGACCATCTTTATGCAGTACGTTGCTTTGTTTGTTAGTACCTGTCAGTGCTTCGGCTAGGGCTTTTTAACTGAAGGGTAGCTTCAGAATGTTTAGAAACAAAAGGAAAAGTAAAACATGACAATTCTTTTTTAAAGGAAAATGAAAATAGTTCTTGATAGCAAATGAGCTACTAGCATGCCAGTGGATTTTTATAGAACTGAGAACTGAGAAAGAGATGTAGGCGTCTGAGCTTACCTGTGAATAAAAATAGAATAAGCGCATTTTGGATCAGACAGAACAGCTGCATAAAGGACACCCATTGAATGGGATCCAAGGACAGGGACGTTCCTGTCCCACGGATGAAGAAGACACTGTTTCTGACCTGGAAGTCAGTTAACCCATCTGACCAGCAGCTCTCAGGGGACCGCGCAGATCCTCGCCTTCCGCAGATGTGGAAGCTCCTTCCGGCCATTAATATCCCAGATAACTTGGCAATGCAAGCTTTCATTCAAGTTAGGTCTTGTGAAGGCTATACTTTTGCAGGAGGGCTGGAAATCATCCAGGTTTAAAGCTGGATTCTGCTTAAAAGCAGAGCTGAGGCTAACCTTGGTGCATGGGAAAAATCAGCACCCCGGTTGGCTTAGCTGGTCCTCCCACGGAGGCGTCGTGCTCTGAACTCATTCCCAGGGTTTAGCTGCTTAACAAGGGACTGAGTTGCCCATGGGAATTTTTGGCATCAAGTGTCATCCAGGGAGATCAAGACATCAGAAGTCGGGTTTGATCTGTAAGCCTTTTAAGAGTCTGTAGCTGCTTAACTTTAAAAATAGAATGGCTATAATTCTGGACCTTAATATTTTAACTAATGCAATTCTACTATAAAATAATCATCTCCTTTTAATCATTTATGACAACTCAGGTATTCACAAAGAACAAAATGATGATTTATTCATTTATTAAGCCATTAGCAGCTACTTCCTGAGTACCTAATAAATATCCAACATGATTCCAGGCACATCAGTCAACAACAGAAAAGCTCCAGTGAGCTTAGTCTGGAAAATAGGAGACAGTCAAAAATAGGTGATGGAATAAATCAGCAAAGCATTAAGCGTTTTAGAAGATAATATAATTTTTAAAAGTAGAGCAAATGAAGCAGTTTGAGGGTTGAGAGTTTTGTCATTCTGTATGTGGTCAGGACAGGCTTCCTGGAGGAGGAGACCCAGCGCACCCTGAGCTTGGTGAGGGGGTCACAGTACAGCTACTGGGGGAAGAGGGCCCAGCCAGGGGCCAGGGGCCAAGAGGGAGGAGCGGCAGTTCTGGGCCTCCTCAGTGAAGACTGTGGCCTTGCTCTGCTCCCATGCGGCTCACTCCTGTGCTTTACTTGGAACTCTCAGGTGTGGATATTTGGTAACTCCGAACTCAGAAGAAGCTCAGACAAAAAAATGCGGCAACACCAGGAAATTCTCGGGTATGACATATGCCACTGTTTGTTATCACATTTCGGAAGATCGTTTTGATTCCCCATGTACCAGGTTCAAAAATAATCCATATACAAATGGGCTTCAAATAGGCTAGGAAGCCGAGGAGAGTTTTAAATGGGCAGAACAGAACAAGGTCAGGCCCCACTGGCTTTGCTGTCCCCACCAGGACGAGACCCGACTGGCACCGAGCTATGTCCTGCGGCCGTCCTGGTGGCTGAGTCATGGTCCTACAGTCTGAGGGCAGTGGGGCAGATGCCAGACAGGAAAAATGCCGCCTTCCTTTTGTTTAGAAATACAGTTTACCTCATCTCCAAAGAAGTGTTTTTTTGACATAATTAGTGTGGACAATTTATATTCTATTTTTTTTCCCTAATTTTTACATCCTAATTTTTTCTAAACGTTTCATGTATCACTATGATTTCTAACACTCAAAAATAAACTCCTTCAGAGGGCAAAGAGACAAAATGTCTTCTTTTAAAATAGGGTTTCATGTATCCTACTCCATTTTTCAGGCATTTATAGAAACTCCTTAGTATAAGAACAAGCATGAGTTTAAGAAATGCAGTCATAGATACCTGATGCTGTAATCATAGATGACCCCCTGGGTTGAGGGTCACAAAGGGAAAGGAAGCCTCAGCCTTCAGCTGAGAAAACAGGCATCCTGCTGGGTGTGCAGGTTTAGGGGAGAAGGATTGTGACAAAAACCTAGGACCTATGCAAGACACATCAATCAACTCTTAAAAAGAGGTGTAGGAGAAATTATGAAAGAAGAGACAGGGAATTATTCCTCACGATGTCTGTCTGT